TCTGCATACTTCTAGCTTCAGGTCATTGATAACTTTACTCCTGAACTGATCTATGAGGCTCTCTATATGGTGCTTTATGTCTATTGGTGCGGTGTCCGCTATTACCTGTTTCTCAGAATTGGGGGCTGAGGAGCCTTTCTTGTTGCTGCCTCTTCCCATATTCTCTGTTCCTTATATATACAAGCTTATATAGGAGGACCAGCTTCTCTTCCTGTCAGCCACAGCCTGATCGAATTGCGCTGGCTAGGTGTTCCCACCCACCGCAGCACACCAGGAAGTTCCAGACCAGGCAGCCTACACGGGGCCCACCCATCCCGGCCACCGTCAGGCTCTGGGATCTGGGTTGGGCTAGCCTACTGGGTCTGCCAGCAGCGTCACATAGGCTAGGCACTTCTCACCAATCCCGCCTGAGAGGGGGATGTGTGGCTGAAGTCGCCACCGCGCCCTGCTTGCACAGGACTGCCCGGGCCCAGAATGTCCTCCACTGGAGTCAAACTGTGGTAGAGTGTCAGTTTCTATCACTCACCTCACCACAAGTCAGTGCATGCCTCCCTGCCTGTCCTGTTTTCGACTCCGTTCGCAGATTCCCATTCTCAGAGCTTCCGTGCGTCTCTCTCCTTGTCGAGTCGATGTAGACGGCAGCCACCGTGTGGCGGGAAACCCAAATCGCGGCTTCCAGTGGCGTGGGCTCCAGCCTCCACACTGAGGCTTTTTTGTTCCTGTTTTAGCACCAGGACTGCATTCTAAGTTGGTTTCTCTCAGCCCAGTTCATTCCTGAATCAGCAGAGCATATCTCCACCTGCTTATGTCTCCTTACTCCGCACCCTTCCTGACTTCTGAGCTGAGCCTTTCAGAGAGCCTCCGTAGTAGCTGTTATCTGTCCGCCATGTTCTCCCAGAAGTTGAATTCTCACATGTTGAGCTGGAAAACAGACAGAGATGGAGAGGAGGGATGGGATCCTGCAGTCCCTTTTAGGGGCAGGCCCTCAATTACCTAATGATCTTCCATGAGACCCAAGTCTCTAAAGTTCCCATTACCCCCTGAGTTTGCTACCCTGGGGACCACACCCTTGACATATGGACCTTTAGGAGACACTACCCATGCTCAAATCACAACAACCTCTTACTTTATAGGGGCCTCTGCTGGGCCTAGCAGCTGTTGGCAGGGGCGATGTGCTCCCACCCAGAATGATCTAGTTTCCATTCAGCACGCCAGCTCCAGGCAATGCCCTGGTTTGACACACCTTCCTTTTGTCGTGACACTGCTTTTTCCTAATACCCATTTCTCTGTGGGGACTCCCTTGGAGGCTTTTATGATTTGTCTAAATGTTGAAATAGCCTTGGCTCTTTTTCTGTGTGATCAGAAGCTCATTGCTGGGAATTGGGCTTGTGTTTATGCATCCCAAAGACATTTTCTTGATCTGTCTGGAAAAAGAAAAGGCCAATGTGTACCAGATGCAAGAAAGCATTGCAGAGGGCCTGTTTGTTTCCTCCTTTCAAGTTCATAGTACTCTATGTTTCCTTTCTAGAGGCAACAACTGATGCCAGCAGAGCAAAGAAGTATCAAGGACCTGGCAAAGTTATCCTTTTGTGTTTTGTTACTTTCCATTTCTTCTCTTCTTCAAATCCTCTCTGAAGTGTTCACAGACTCTGGGAATCTGGTGGCTTCTTTATATGCAATCCTATGTTCTCAGAGCCCCTAGAAGCACTTTGTTCTGTTCTCCACATGCCTGCCTCATTCAGGACCATTAGGTTTCCTGACTGGTGTCTTTTAACCATCTGAATCTCCTAGAGTTCACTCTCTGAATTAAGATCTTACTGGAAAGGTAAAGGTGATACCATCTTGTCTTGGTTAAAAAATAAAACACCCACAAAGTCTCAATTCTTTTCCTATTCTGTAAACCAAGCAGAGTAGCAGGGATTTCCTGACTTTTCACTTACAGATTACCTCCAGTGCTGTGGTGTCCTTTCACCCAACACATCTGTCTCTCAAAGGACACTGTTACTCAGTGCCCATGCCTTGAACAGGGTGGCTTCATATCCTCTTTTTTCATATACTATTCCTCAGTTTTTGGAATGTTCTCCTCCTTTAGTTTACCATTGCAGAAGAAGAGTATTGTTCTTTTCAGGAAAACACTAATGTAGAAATGTCTTAGCAATGATTTTTTTTACTGAGACTCACAAAAAAGTTCTGGATCATGAGCTGGAACATCTGGCCATTTGTTCCATCTCTTACCAGATGACTCATCTCAGTCAGAGATTGAGTCTGGGAAATAGAAGCTCCGATCATTCTTCAGGGGTCATGTACTGGCAGGAGAGCTCAGAACAGTGGTTCTCACGCTGGATGCACATTAGTATCACCTAGAGTATCTTCTAAAGACCATAATGCTCTGGCCTTATCAGAGTAGTCATATTCAAATCTCTGAGGGGAGGGACCCTCGTGTTGGAACTCAGTGCTTGTTGACAAATACTGGTGAAGAAGTTCAAGGACTGGACTTTAGATTTCATCAGAAGCAGTTTTCAAATCCAGCTGAGAGATCTTGGGTCAGATTTTTTAAGAGACACTTATTTTTAGAATAGTTTTAGATTTATAAAAAATAGTGAGGATTGTATAGAAATTTCCAATGTATACGACACCAGTCTTACCTTTTGGCATCTTACATTAGTATGGTACATTAGTCAAAATTAATAAACAAATACTGATACATTATCACTCCCTAAAGTCCATATTTTATTTGGATTTCTTTGTTTTTATCTAACTTTTTCGTTGTTGTTGTTCTAGGATTCTAGGCATGATGTCACATTAGATTTGCTTGTTATGTCCCCAGTATTAATGTCATAGGGTTGCTGTAACCAAACAGCTCAAGTTGGGTGTCTTAAAGCAACAGAGATTCTTGCAAGCAGGCAGTCGTGAGTTCGATCCTCGGTACCGATAAAAACGAAAAAGACAAAACAAAACAAAACAACAACAACAAAAAACAAAAAAAACCCCCAAAACCACAGAAATTTTAATACTCTACAATTGTGAGGGCTAAGAAGTCTGGATTCCAGCAGTTCCTTCTGACACCAGCAGGAAAAGCCTTTTTTGCTGTCTTGAGCTTCCTTTGGTTTGCTGACAGCCTTGGCGTTCCTCGGATCACTCTCTCTATGTGTGTTACATGGTGTTCTTTCATGTGTTTTTGTCTCTGTGTCTCTTCTATTCTTATGAGGACACTATTCTAATTGGGTTAAAGACTCGCCCTGCTCTATAATGACTTCTCAGTTAATTACAAACTCATTTGGGATTAGGAATTCAGCTTGTTTTTTGAGGAGGACAAAACTTAATCCAATATAGGCTTCTTTTGGCTATGACAATTTCTTAAAATATTTTTGTTTTTGATGGCTGTCACAGTTTTGAGAAGTGGTAGTCACGTGGCTTGTAGAGCGTTTCTCAAATGCAGTTTGCCTGATGTGTTTCTCATGATTAGGTTGGGATTATTAAAGTGGGGGAGAAGGAATACAGGTGTGCAGAACTATTTTGGGTGCACAACATCAAGGTCACGCAGTATCAATATCCCTTATCACTGTTCCTAGTCTCGTTGTCCACCTGGCTGAAGCAGTGTGTGTCAGATTTCTTCACTGTAGAGCTGCCATCTTCCTCCTTTCCATATTATACTCTTTAGAAAGTGGTCACGGGGTGCTGTCAACACCAAAGGAATTGGGGAGTTATGCTCCATCTCCCTGAGGCCAGAATAGTCACAGAAATTACTTCTCATTGTTCTCTGTGGGAGATGTGTCCATCTTCACAACTTATGCATTCATTTGCATCAGTATGTACTAATGGATGTTTATTTTATAATTTGAGTTATTATTCAATGCTATTTTATGTGTTTTGTTGCTGAAATTTTCCAACTTTGGCCATTAGAGCTCATTTAGTCGGGTCTTGTGTCCTTTTCATATACTCCCACTATCAAGAGGTTCTTTGATTATTTCTTTACTTTCTGGCACTATAAGATGCTCCAGGCTCCTCTTGTGTGTTTCTTGCTGTAGTCTTAGAATCAATCATTTTTTTTGGAAGGGGCCCAAGATACTTTCATTGGAGAATGATATTAGAAACCAGGGTCTTGTGTGCTCATTCTGAATCTTGTTGGGTGCCATTTTTATTTTACTTTATTTCAGTAAAGTGGAGATACTAATTGTACTTTCATCACAGGTTATTGTCAGGCTTAAGTTAGAGAATGTGAGTAAGAGCTTTCCTAACCAGTTAGTAAATGCTTAAAAATGTGATCATTTTCTATAGAGCTTTTTAAACTTGGGCAAAGTTGACAATTTTCCTAAATATTTCCTTATCTGGTAGATCATCTGATTCAACAGTCTCAGACAGAAGGGGGAAAGATCACGCTGCCATGGTAGAGACAGTAAAATTAAGAGGATAAAGGAGTCAACCTACATTACACTGTAACCAAAGTCTTACTTTCCAGCCCCATTCTAGCTGAGACTGGTGACACTCCTGCATGTGAGTGGTTTGAAGTTTCACTCCTTGACTCTCACCTAACTTTTGCTTGAAGGACTTTGTAGTGGTCCTGTGTCTTTGAGTTATCCATCTCCAAAACCATGAACAAGATTAACTCATGACACAAGGAGTATCTATACACTCACCCCACACAGGCCAGAGCAGACGGGGTGCCACATTTTCTGAACCAAACATTGAATATATACATGATCTGGAAATATTTTTTATTCAAACATGGGTAGCATTCAAGAAATCCAATTTGGGTGCTGAAAACATTGGCATTATGGATTATTTGGACTATTGAAAAATAATAATAGTACAGTGCATTTAAGCATAATAGACCCCAAAAACCCAAGACAAGCTTTTGTATCTATAATGTAAACATCCCATCATTATCTCTCTTTTCATAATACAGTGATCCTAATCAAATAGAACAGAACTTTGAAACATGAAAGCAACTCATGAGAATCATCATTGCATGCAAAAACATATAAACCAAACAACGATCCTTGACTCATTGCAGATGTTTATTAGAAGAAATCTGTAACTTCCCATAAGAACAGCTTCTGTCGCTAATGAAATCCAGGCACAACCATTATTGCTAATAACAGGATTCACAGTATGAAATTATGGCTCTCATGATACAAACTATACTCTAAGGAGGTAAATTCTGATTGCATTGAAGCAAACTCTGGCTAAGAGCAGCACATTTTAAAGTTGGAAAGGGCAGCATTTGGAGGTAGTGAACTTCTCATTACCAGAGGCATCCAGGAGGGCATAGAGGTAGACAAGCCAACCAAACAGACACTTCTGCTTGTGCAACCCTGAGAGATCTGGGTAGAGCAGGAGATTCCTGCCTAACAAATGCTTGTAGATCAAGGACAGGTGAGGGTCCTTGGCCCGTTCAGTCACTTTCTCAGTCTGTATGATACTGCAACTGGGGAAAAGCAGGACACACTGAGTCCAACCAGAACTCAGTATCTGTGTACAAATTATGAGGCTGCTTCCAGTCCCAATTAGTAGTCTAAAATTGCAGAGGCTAATGTTCTAGACTTGTAGGAGAAAGCCTCTTTCAGATGTTTATTCTAATCCCAGAGCACCTGTCTCCTGAATATGCCATTTTCATTGGAAGAGCTGGTGTAATTTGAGGAAACTTAAAGTGACATTTACTCTTGCTCTCCCTCCATCTGGAAGCCTGTCTCTGTCTCATCTGTGGCAATGCCCACCGTGAGCAAACATATCTCTTCCGGGAAACCTTTCTGGTGTTGCCTTCCCCAACAGCTCCACGCCAGAATGGCCTTTCTTTGACCTCCATGCCTCTTCAAAACAAAGCACTGGGTAGTGTCCATTCCCATGCAGCAGTCTCTCAGATACTGCTCACAGCTCCTTCTAGGAGCTCCTGGAAGGCATGGGTCACACTCTGCTCATCACAGTAGCCCAGTAGCAGCAGTCAGCCTAGCCTAGAACTGGGGGTGGAGCCAGGAAGTGCAAAATGGGAAGGTACAGAGTCTTGGACTGCCTCGTGAGCAGCCTCAGAACTCTGTGTCACAATTCTTTGGTGTTTAAAATAGAGCACCGCTTGTTTAGTAAATATTTGATGAAGTTGGACCTCCTTGTCATCTCTCTGCGGGACACACAGAGTTAGACTTTCTCCTAGGACTGGGTCGGGCTGCGAATTGCGGTCTCCAGGTGTTTGGCACAGCGTCTAATACCTACAGCTCTCAGTTCCTGTTGTTGTTCCCTTTCAGTAACACACTCAGAACAACCTAGAAACTGCAGTGCTAAGGTCTTCCAAGAAAAGAAATTCTGATAGAAAAGAAGACAGGGACTTGGGGCTTCTGATCCCTTGAAATCTTCCAGAGCTCTGGAGGGGGTAAGGTCTCTAGAAAGCTCCCTGAGGAAGAAAGTGTTCTTGGGTGGCAGAGGCACACTGCTTGGGCTAGGACTCAGGAAAGAAATTCTGCTTGAGAATAAGGAAAGACCCACAGGCTTCATGTTGCCTGGAATGGGTCCTTCAGGACCAGGTTGAGGTGGACGGGGTGAGCGTATATTGCAGGAGCAGAAGCCACATTTTGTTTGCTTCAAAGCTTTTTTGAACCTAATAAAATTTTTGCCTTAGGGTTACTTTAGTTTTAACTCACGTCAGGGAAAATAAGGCTTTGTTAGATCTGGGATTGTCAGAGCTGGTAGGACCCTTCAGGATGAGCTAAAAGAACTTTCATGGGGCCCCATGGCAAGCTGGGGACGGAGCTGGTCCAGGTGTTATTCCCAATCCCCTATCTCTGTCCCCAGTCACCCTTACAATTTGGTGCCTACGTAAATTGCATAGCTATACTGCTGTGGGCCGTGCCACAGGACCAAGAGCCTTATGTGTTTTATCTTTTTGTGGAGGGAGGGCTGGATCAAGGTTGATAGAGATACACGTGGGGGGAAAAAGCCCTAGGGCATGAGAGGACATGTAAAGTTGGTCAGAGTGGGGCCAGTCATCCTTAGGAGTTGGTAAGAGAACTTCGCTATCTGCTTCATCATATTTACTGAACTCGTAGTTAGGCCATTCACATGCTTAAGTGCGTTGTATGTATTAATTCGTTTCATCCTCATCAGGCTTTGAAGAGGTAGGTCAGCTGTGCCCTTTGCACCTTGGGGACAAACAATCAGGTTCAAAAAGTGACATCTGGGCTGAGGACTTCGCTCAGTGTCATAAGTGCCTGCAGCACGAGGTCATGAGATCGATCCCTGGTATCAAAAAAGAAAAAAAAGGTGACGTCAGCTGTCCAGCATCACAAAGATCCTAAGGAACAGAGTGTGGACTTGGCCTTGGCTTCTAACTGCTGTCACAGACGCTCCGTAGCAGTATTGCTCAGTGGTAGGCGGGATGAATGGCAGGGTATGTGGCAGGGCGCTCAGTTCTTCACCCCGGTGACATTCTGGATCCAGCCTTTGTGGTGGTAGATGTAGGAATACACTCCGTAGTGGTCCTTCAGCCCACAGCCCTGGCCCCAGGACACAGTGCCCACCAGGTACCACCGGCCCCTCTCTGTATCCAAGGTCACCATCGGGCCTCCGGAGTCGCCTGCGCAGGCGTCCTTCCCCCCTAGATGAAAAGAAGAGGAGATGAAAGAGCTCCCTTCCCCAGCCCAAACCTAAGGGTTCTCCCTCTCCAAGTCTGACTTGTAGTTCCAACACCAGACACTAGAGGGCGGGGCAGACCGTGTGACCCAAATCTGGGCTGAGTCTGGGAGCCCTGGGCCTCTCCAGAGCTCAGATTTAAGAAAGTGCTGGTTTTTGCAAAGGATTGGTGGAAATTCTCAGCAGTCCTCTCTCTGATGCATCGTCTCCAATGGAATCTGTCTTCTGCAATCTGACCACCACCCCTCCAGCAGCCCGCCAGTCTTTTCCTGCTGGCTACTCCCCACCCCAGGTCTCACCCAGGGCTGACATTCTGTGTCAGCTTCGTGACGCACCTTCCTTCTCCCCAGCACAGATCATGTCCTCAGTCACTTTCTTCTTCAACGGGACATAAGCCTCCTTGCAGGTGTGGTGATCAACAAGTGGAATTTCAATCTGCGGCACAACACTATCATTAGTCCACAGAGCCCTGCTCTTCTGAGGCCTGGAGCTGGCCAGGATCTGTCTGAGACTTGGGCTCAGAAACTGCTCTGTGGTACAGGTGAAGGAAAAGCTGAACGGACAACCAGGAGAACCATAAATGTTACAGTTTCTGTTATGAACTTCTTGTGCAACCTTGGACCAGTAACTTGCAAGGGACAGGTAACTCTGGGATTGTTCTCTCATCTGCAAAATGGGGATAATACTACACATGCCTACCACAGGCATCTTTTAAAATATGACAGTATGTATAAAAGCCAAGGTCAGTTTTCTTTCTCCCACCCTACCGTGGGACCTGAAGTTCTAGGGTCCACAGCATGTGGCTTAGTCACTGCTTATGAGATCTCTGAGACTCTGTTTCTTCACTGAAAAACAGAAGCCATAATATTTAGTGTTACTAATCACCTGGGGTTTTACAAAGAGGAAATGTAGGAGCTGGTGCTTTGTAAGTTACAAATACTGTATCAAACTGTATACTGGTAGGTTCTTTAGGGGTTCTCATTGCTTATTTGCAGCAAGCATTCACTTGTGTTGGTTTCTCTTGTTACAGGATGAGCTTCTAGACACTGAGACCTTATCTTGCTCATTCTGCCTTCCATAACTTGGACAATAGGAGGCACTCAGCAAATGCATGTGAACTATGATGATAAATTGCTGCCTAAAAGTAAGGGATTATGATTATTACTGTTCTCGATTTGACATGAGGATGAGAATTGGAATAAGTGCTTGGAATAAAAGGGAGCAGATGATTTTCATTCAGCCAAGAACCAAGAACTCACTGGACCCCGTGCCTCAAACATGCACCTTCTCCAGTGAGGAGGGACCAAAAGTCCCTCAGATTCTTTTTGGGCCATGGCTCCTTTGGAGAGGTAGGGAGAGGAACCACATGACAAGGATGTGCCCTGGAATTGTCAAAGCTCTGATTAACCTGCCTTCATTAGTCAAGTGTCATTTAAAGGGTCATATTTTGGGGAGGCCATCCTGAACTCCCAAGGTAAAATCAAATCCCTGCTGCATCTTGCACAGCTTCCTTTACTTCTTCCTCATCACCTTCATTCCATCCATAGCTACTGTTTAGGCCCAAGGAGACCAAGAATCACATCTGTCCTTTTATGCCCCTGCACTCCAGGTAGTACACAGGAGACACTAACCATTTGGACACTCACAGATGATCAGGTGAATGGGTGCTGGAAATCCAAAATTTTTACAGTGCATTAAAGTAATGTGTGTTGAAGGATTTAGAAATTGCCTGAAACCGTGGAACTTGGTGGTGTCAGAGCAAAACGGTTCTTTGAGAAGGTCTATAAATGCTTTTAACTTCACAGTTTGAGATTGTACACCCTGGCCTAGTGAGAACTTGCTTCAGATAACTCAGCAAAGCAGTAGAAACCAAGACTCTCAAACATGACTTCCTATGCTTAATTCAGCGTTCTTTACTTAAGTGACAGGAAAGTGAACTCCTACACGCAGCCAGTCAGGTTTGTTTCTGCAAGGACTGTAATTCTCAAGAACTGAATGGCTGAGAAGCCCTGCTCTTCTGAGACCTGGAGCTGGCCTGCATCTGCATGAGACTCGGGCTCAGAAACTGCTCTGTGGTACAGGGGAGGAAAAGCTGAATCGGGCATCACCGGGGAACCATGCCTGTTACAATTTCTGTTACGAACTTGCTATACAGCTTTGCACCAGCAACTTGCAAGGGACAAGTAACTCTGGGACTGTTTCCTCTCATCTGCAAAACGAAGACAACCATACTTGCCCACCATAGGCATCTTTTAAAATATGACAGTGTGTATAAAAGCCACGGTCAGTTTTCTTTCCCCCACCCCTACTGTGGGACCTGAAGTTCTAGGATCCATAGCACGTGGCTCAAACGGTGCCCCAGCATCCTCCCACCACCCTTACCCAAGCTGCCACCCCCCTGACCATCCTCCCACCACCCTTACCCAAGCTGCCACTCCCCTGACCATGTCACATCACCTCCATGAGAGTCTCTGGGAACCTTTGCAAGAACTGCTTCCCCCAGCCACTGACGATGACCATAGATCCTGGAGGAGAGAAGATACCCTGAGCACAGAGAGACAGTCTGTGGGAGGTGCATTCTCCTCTTCCTGTGGGGGAAGGGCTGGCTTACTCCGCCAGAGAAAGTCAGCAAGATGAGGAGGAATACGGGAGAGGCTGCTTGGAGAGGACCTCCCCAGAGCAGTAAATTATCATGTATGTTTCTATATCATATCCTTGGGTTTGTTGGTCTATTCTCTCCCACCTCCATCTGGCACAGAACCTAGACTCTGTGAAAACAACAACCCATCTCCCTAGTTTGCTGCTGCATCGCCATGTCTAAAACAGTGCTGGTGTACAGGTGCTCAGCTAGTAATCGTGAGTAGATAAAAAGCTCAGCCTCTCAGCAACGACCTGTGCTGTCTCACAGCAAGCCTTCTCGCCTCCCCACCCCTTCTCCATGTCAGTCATTCTCCTCAGAAAACTGGGAAGTATTCTGGACTTGGTATTCTTGCAAACCTCTTCCAGCTCGGACATTCTAGGAACCTATGCCATTGGTAAATCTGAGGGTAATGGAAATTCATTGGATGCTGATTGAGCAATTATGTTCTTAGTTGATAAGAAGCCTGTATACTTAACAAAGCTTTGGGCTTAAAGTATCTGTGGCGAGTTCCTTCACTGTGGTGGGCCTCAGTTTTCTCCTCTGTAAAATGGAGTGAAAATGCCACCTTCCAGAGCTTTTATGAATAGTAAGCAACCAGCACATAGTAAGTGCATGACATTCAATCACGTAGTCCCTCCATGTTTCTCGATAGCTCAATTTCTCTAAATGCCTCTCTGGGCCATCTAAGCAATTCTTTACATCTTTGAGGTAAAGGAAGTGAATTATCATATGGCAACAGTGAATTTAGAATGAGAAGGAAGCTAGCTGGCATGGACTGGACTCTTCATGTCTGAAAGTTATTTTTATTTTTGAATTGAAATACCAGGACCACTCCCTAAGGAATGTCACTTCTAGTTTAGAAGTAAGGGGACTGCAGCTTAATGAGGTCAAGTAATACCCTCAAGATCTCTCAGATAGGAAATGCCAGCCACGGGATTCAAACCTGTGCTGGTTATTAAGCTGTGGCCCCTCGGTTTCAGACTTTGTCTTCTATATTTTGCTTTGTGGTGCTAGGGATAAGACCTGGTATGGAAGTTCTTGGCTCACTCATTTCCTGAAAATAGGGATACTTTCAATCTGGCAATGGTTCTCCACCATCATAGTGGCAGTTTGTCTGAGCTGGATTCCTTAGTACATTAGCCACATCTACAGAAGTTCAAATTCTGGTAAGAGTCACTTTTTCATGCTTGTCAGTTCTGTAAGTAGTCTCTGCCTTTCATTCCCCATGCATCTCTATCATCTCAGCTTTCCCCTTTTACTTACTAGGTCACCTTTACATTAAATCCTCTCTTCCAGTCACCAGTCTGAGTTTATCTTCTTATCTGGACCCTTGATCCTGCCTGTTTGCTATGTGCTTAACACTCTTTGTGCAAACTAGGGAATTATGTAGACTCCAATCAACTGACTGCCTGGGCAACAGGGACTCCCGGGATGCAGGATTCCCTGCCAAGGCCCCTGCTGTTCCGCAGAGGTGAGATCAGGGGTTGGGGGGAAGTACCTTCTTGTGAGGGCTCCTCAGGCAGACAGATGGGCATCACAAAGTTGTTCAGTGTTGGGCTCTCTGACAGCTCCAGTAGAGCCACATCATTCTCAAATGTGCTGGGGTTATACAGGGGGTGCAAGATGATCTGTTTGACTCGGAGGTGCTGCTCGTCTGCATCTGAGTGGCGCCTCCAATGCTTGCCTGGGCAAGGAGAAGCCATGTGAGGATGAGGGAAATGGCAGATAAGGCCATACCTTACTTCCTGTCTCCTCCCGGTCCCATCCAGCACCTGCCTCTACCCTCAGCCTTTCATTGCCCTTTGCCCAGCTCCCTCAGCCTGCCTGCAATACCCTATAGGTTTGCCTTCCGTCTTTCTTCATGAACTGCCCATTGCCTTCGACTCCTCCCTCTTGTGTCAGTTGCCACAGCCAAAGCCTTGTGAGCATCCTTCAGGGCCTGGGTTGTATGTCGCTCCCTCTGTGAATCCTCCCAGGTATCCCACTTAGTAGTCTCTCCCCTACCACCTCCCATGACAGCTTTTCTGTCCCTCTGCTAGAGAACTTTCTGCTTCCTAGCTTATAACAAGAGGGTTCTGCACTTGCATCTTGTTCCTTTATTAGACTGTAAGCTCCTAGTGGGCAGGAACTTGTTCTTGATTATACAATGCCCCTAGAACCTGGCTGAGTGTTGGCAGGCAAAGGGATGTTAGACGGAGTTGAATCAGAGGGCAGTCTTGAATTCGTAAGTAAAGGAGAGCCTTGGAAAATGGCAGTTGTGGAACTTCCTTCCCAGAACAACAGCTGGCCTCAGGAGTCAGCTTGCCCCTCACTCACCCATGATGATTTTGAAGTCAGAAGGGTGGAGTAGGTAGGAGGCGTGTAGTCTTGGGTCCTCGGAGTCCACTGGCTGGTGGAGGCAGTGAGCAGCAGTCACGAGCCAGTTGAGGTCTAGAGGGCGGAGAGTATGGATGTAGGTCATGTTGTGCCCCCTCTGTCTCAAGCTGAGGACTTTGGGACCTCTCCAAGACTCTTCTTAAGACCTTGAAAATGACTATGTCTCCTCTATTGCATTTCACAGCCTCAATCTGATAGGACCTACTCTGAAGACAAGGAGTGCTTTCAACTTCTCCTTTCATCCCAGGCCAGGTCTGAACATTTTAAAGAGGATTTCAGGGTTTCCTTGAACCCATGGGGTGGGTGAGAGCCAGAAGCCCAACTTGGGTCAGTGAAGACCCTGTGCTCAACAGCTGCCTCTTGAACTCGTTTCTCAAATCATGGTCCAGGGGCTCATAGTGTAAGCATCACTCTTGGACTCCTCAGAAATAGACTCTCAAGCCTACCTCAGATCTACACACCAGAGCTTGCACCTTAGTGACATGCCCAGATTAATCCATGCACATTAAAGTGTGGCAAGTCCTGAGGAGAATGGTCAGTAGCTAGCTACATGGCTGCACACCTGGAGTTACCTGGGAACTAGAAAACATCAACAGTATTTGAGCTATGTGTGTAGGGCACAGAAGTGCATTAAAGGTTTCCTCAGGTAATTCTGGGCTGCCAGGATTGAGAAGCACAGGTGCAGACCTCTCTTTTTCGGCCATGAACCCGGAGGCCCACAGGAAAGCAGTGTGGCAACAGTCACAGGTTAGCAGGGGACGGTCTCCTGGTGTTCAGTCTCTGGAAATCCTTTAAGTGGAGCAGATGGCAAACCCATAAGAAGCTGAGCCTGTAGCATACCCAGGAGCAGCCAAACAACCTGAAAAGATCTAGGTCTTGGAGGGAAAGAGTCAAGGGTATCAGGTTATAGTTCAGAGTCAAAGGCAGGGTTGCTTTTCTGGAGCAGATTCCAGGCAGGCTCTGCTTAGAGGCAGCTGTGTGCTCAGGCTCCTGGTTCTGGCTAGAGCTCCACACAGCCCTCGATCCATGCAAGAGACCACTGGGTGGACTTCCCAGGTGAGCATCGTAGGAGAGTCTGCCTCAAAGCAGGAATCCGGGCCACTTACACAGTCCAGGGGTGTGTGCTGGCCAACCCAGAGAGGCAGCTGTGGCTCCTGGCTCTGCCAAGCCCTCTAGCCAGCCTCAGCAGAGGTGCTGAGTTGGTGCTTTGCCATTTTTAAAATCCCTTACCTTCTCTTCAGGTTATTCCACCTTCACCTAAGTTATTCTAACTTCACCTCTCCTCCCTTTCTTCCACCAACGGGAGCAAAGAGCTCAGAGTAAGAGTTGTGGGAGGGTAATGCTTAGCTGGGGACAGAGAAGAAATCTTCAAACGACTGTCAGACATAAGTCACAGGCAGTAAGCATGCAATAAAACACAAGTGCTTTAAGAAAATGAATTTAGGTGAAATTGATGGCCACATAATCCATTTCTTCTACTCCCAACAAAACTGAGAATGTCTGCGGAAACAGCCCCTGTCCCTTCCTTCCTCTCTTCCTCGCCATTTCTCTGCCTCTCTTCAGTCTCTCTAGAGGCCTCCTCTCTCTTTTCCTTCTCCTCTGAGTTTTCCTCTTCCTGGGATACCTTGTGTTTTATCAGTCTCTCTTCACCTGGTTGCATTGTCTTGTTTTTCTCTTCTTTCTTCAGTTCCCTTCCTCTGTCTCTTTTTGTTTTCTTTCTTGCCATCCTTTGCCCTCTGTTTCCCTCTTTGCTCTGCTCTTTCTTGTCTCTTTCCTGCCCACGGGCCCCCTAGACTGCCATCGGCTCTGCCCGGCCAAAATCTACCTCTTGGAACACCTCTACTCTTCCCTTGACTTTTGCAAGGCTTGAGGACACAAGACTACTCATCTAACTTTTCTAGAAATATAAGGATCGTGTATTCAACTGGCCATTTTACGTATCTGCAGCACCTCAGCTGCAGCCCTAGCCCTATGCCTTTCCTGATGGATTTGGTCTGGAGCTTCCCATCCTAACTGCAGTCTGAAGGAGGGCAAGGCTGAGGGAAAGGCGTGGCCTCTTCCCCTGCTGGACGCTGCCCACCTAGAGATGGAAAGATCTCGCACTTTTTGCTCTGTGAGGGGCTCAGATGTAGAGTAGCCTGGGATTCTAAATCTCCATTTTCTCATAATTCCAGAGTTTGAATGAACTTTAAATCCTTTAGATCAGGACCTAACTAAGGCAGAGAGGACACCAGCTATGCTTTTCCTCTTTGTGCTGGCTCTTGCCTGTGTTTAGTCTGCAACCAAGCTGGCAATCTTATTTTCCAACATTTTGGATCTGCCCCCTTCTTTCTATCCCTCCAGGACCATTTTTATTTTGACACTAATTACTCTCCCACTGTTGGCCTTCAGATTTCCTTCTTTTGGGTCATGCTGTACTTGGAGAGAACTTTCTAGAACATGTATTCAAATCTGCAGCAGTGTCCAGGGTAAGATCTAAATTCCTAAGCATGGTCTATCTTCATTATCTATGCTTTTCCTGACTTTCCAGAGTTTCCTGGTTCTCCCGCAGCCCTAGCTACCTGCCTCATGCTGTGATTTATGCTGGACGTTCTAATGCTGACTCAGTCCTTCAGGAAGTGTTCGGTGCCTGAAGAATCATCAGGAATACAGGGCTCCTGGGTCCAGCTAATGACTCGTTTTTCCACATCATACTTCTAGGCTCTGATGCTGTTGTGAGCAGTGATTTTCAGCAAAGAAACCTTGGTCAGTCTCCTCAAAACCATGTCTCTAATCTAGCTCATCCAAGCCTGAGACTTTTGCCCTGCTACCTTCTCCTTACCTAGAAGCGTGCCTCCACAGAAGGGCACATCAGTTGGGTGAGACAGCATGGCAATCCAGGGAGTGGTGCCCTTCTCGGCTGGGCGTCCATTGAAGATTCTGGCCATTTGCTTCCGGTGAATCTTCGGGGATCCACACACTGCAGCCAATGGAGGAAGCACACATCACTCTGGCTCCACTGCATCCTCTGGTAGCCAGGGCTACCAGCTCATCATTTGTCAGAAGCATCTGTTACGTTTGCTCTCCCAGCATCTGGTGCCCCTTCTGATAATCACATACTGATTTTTCCTGGGGTGGCCCATTTTCCCACTGCTGATGTACGTATTCCAAGATGAGCTGAACTCATCAGGGATAAGGAAGTTATTTATCAAAGCCTTGGACCTCTAGGTCACAGCCATTGCTCAGGGATGAAATGTCACTTTGGCATGACCAAAGAAAGGCTGGTTTGCAAATTATGTTAAACATATTAGAGAAATTCATTCTCTCTTGAGGTTGCTAAGTTGTTGACCACAAGCCCAGATCTGGTAATGATCATTTCATGGAGTGTCTATGGAGAAAAATACTACAGACCTGGAGGAAAGTGGAATGGAAGGCTATGAGGGAAAGCAAAACAGGTTGTGTCTGATATTTGAGCCTTTTTGTCTAATCATCCTGGAAGCTTTGGTCTCTTTATTTCCGGTGAACCTATACACTCTCTATCACTTTCTCTTTATGCTGTTTATGTTGAGATTTTGTGACCTTCAAATGGAAGTGTCCAGACTAATAAAGAAGCCTCTTGTGCTACCCACAGGACCCCACAACAATAATACATGGGATCTACCTGTTTTTCATTGAACTGGATACATACACACACAGACACAGAGGTGAGTAGCCTCAGAGACTATGCAGTCTATTATTCTTATACAGCAGAAGAAATTCAGGACTATAGTGAGAAATGGACTTACCAAAAGCTATTGAATCCATTATGGCAAAGCTGTAATTCTGGGTCTCTTGACTATACTCTAGGCTTGTCCTACTCTGGCCAGCACCACTGTCTCTTTACTGTGTGACTTCCTGGGGCACTCAAATCACAATCGCGACATGTGAGCAGTTCCCAGTTGTCACCAGGCTGAGCTAAATCAGACAAATGCGTTGCATGCTTGACCACATCTTCAGCATCTCGCAGCATTGTTCTATGTACTGTTGGCCTGCCAGCCCAAGCTAATTTCCTGCCCCTGTTCCCGGAACAGGCTTGTAGTCCATTACTGGGAACTCTCTGACAATCCTCCCTGCTGTGTTCTTTCCCTGTAAGTGTTCTTCCCTTCAGAGCTGATTATGCATTCCAAATGTCCTTACTTCTATAGGTTTAGTAATCTGGCCTTCAGGCTTGTCACACATCCTCTGTATTTTCCATCTCCTTCTCTTATACCTCTAAAGACGGTCGAGCCTTTCATTTTAAAAGTCCTGATTCCCTTAAATTTCAAATCTTTCCTTCTCCTCCATCCACAGTCAAGCTTCTGCAAAAAGGAGTGGACAATCAAAATTCATGCTATTCCCTGTGTTTTGGAGATAGGTTTAGAGGAAGAAAGTATCACATACTGCACAAATCCAGAAATAAAGTGGTCATTTGAATTTTTAATAGAACTACACTCATCGATGGCTCTGGGTTCATAAATGGAACTTCAACAGTGATATTAATGTGTATGGGAAGATAATGTTCTTAATATGTTTTTCATCTTCAAGAATTCTCCTTGCCCTGCAGCTCCCCAAATACTAGGTCTGGAGTATCTATCATTTTAGGTGAAAGACAGATAGGTTTTGGCTTTCTTAAGAGCAAAAACAGAATCCAAAGTCGGAAACATTTTAAGAGTTATGCAGTGTGGTGAGAATAAAAGATGTGCAAGTATTAAGGAATCAAAATGTGAAGAACTGAGCATATAATACTTACTATAATCCATAGAGGATAAAGGAGGCACGAGCAGTTTCCTGTCCTTTGAAATAGTTGAAAGGCCTTTTTCAGGTAGAGTGAAAAGGCTGGAAGGAGACCGGGAAAGAGAAGATACTCAAGGAGAAGGGACAGTTAACAGTGAAAGCACCCTACTCCTTGGATGTTCCTTCAGGGATGACAGGAAAACCTGGTCCCCATTCCAGAAAAGGTCCATCCTGGAGGCCTTCACCTGGACCTTTGAGCTGCGGGGTGCTGCTGATTCCTTTGTCCTGATTATGGCTTAGATCTAGAATGTTCCCCCAAAGCCTCTTCCATTCATGGGAAAGCTCTGGGAAGGTGACTGGATCATGGGGGGACTATAGCTATCTTGCCGTCAGGAAATGAGGTTTGGTTGGAAGTGGCGGGTCACGGGGGCGGTGTGTGTGAATTGGAAGGGTCCATCTCCCTCCTAAGTGCTCAGTTCACTGTGTTTCCTGGCTACCATGATGTGAGCAGCCTTCTCCCCCAGACCCTTCCTCTTTGCCTCTTCTGCCTTGCAGACTGCCAGCTATGGACTGAGGTTCAATAGACCATGAACCCCAAAAGTCTTCGCTTTCTCTAAGTAGTGGGTGCTGGTTATTTTCTTCAGGAATGAAAAAAGTTTTAAAGACAACTCCTCTTGCCTTTTATTTCCTCCCTGGCTGCTGAACACTTTCCTTCTTTTTGGGAACCCAGTTCTTCCTATTCTCTTTGTCTCTCTTTCTTTCTTTCCTGGCTTCTCTTTCCTTTATCCCTTCTAGGATGGTGTCTGCCTTGCTCACCCTCTGAGGAGTCTTTCTCTTCTGCCCATTTCTAACAGGCCATATCCCACTACATCCTATTAAACTTCTTTAAACCTGTTCTGTCTTCTGAATTCATTGTTATTTACTGCCTACTTGTGTTTCATAAACTCTTCAAACTCAGCAAAGCTAAGTCCTGGCCTTAGACTTCACCAGTCTTCTCCCCTTGTTATTGTAGACCCTTGTTGGTACCTGCACAAACCACAAACTGATGGTCTCCCTTTTCTTCAGTCCCCCTACCTAATCCACCACTAAATCACCAGGAGAAGCAGGGGAAAATCTCTCTCCCACTCCATGTCAAAATATTCTCTCCATGTAACCTCTGTGTCTCCAGATGCTATAATATAAAATCCAACATACCGTGGTCCACCATGACCCCAAACAAAACTCTCCAGGGCAAATCATGAGCATGTCTGGGGGGAGCCCTCCCCCTCTGTTAACTTATATCACCCTTTGTATCCTTATGGTGGTACAGTCTCAAGAGATGCTATAGCACATAAATGGATTAAACCACCTTCACCCCATGTGGACACTGTTGCATCACTAGGTCTGGGAGATCGTCTCCATCTCTCACCAGGATGGATGCAATTGCTTCCCCTCACCCCAAGTGCAGCTTCTAACCTGTTCTCTTTCTGCACCATGCTGCCCACCCGCAGACTTGTCTAATTCAGATATTTCCATGTGTGAGACCCAGAAGTCTGCAGGTTTAACAAGCACACCTGGGATGATTCCAGTGTACTGGTTATGATACAGAGTTCAGAGTACAGCTTTTAAGATTCTTTCCACTCTTCAAACGCACACTGCCCTCATGACAATCATGACCTGCTTTCTTGGTTTGATGCTTTTTCCCACTCTGTGCTTCCTCTGCCATCTCCTCTGACCCCCTACGAAAATCTATTCTGATACTTTTCATCTACATAAAACCACATCTTCAAGTTCCCATGATGCCTAAATCTTGATTCCTCTTATGACATTCAACTCATTTTGGCCACGTAAGACCTACACACAAAGGAGAGTATCTTCCTTCTAACATGAGCTCTTGGAATACTTAAATAGCAAACAATTAAAGCAATGTGTAGCCTCTAAGAAGCAAACATATTAAGGAGCACTTTTTTCCCCCTCATTATCTCTTTTTGCTTAATGAAGGGAATGCAGTTTCTTTAAAGTTCAAAACAACTAAACACACTTCAACCATAGTAACCATACTCCCAAACCAAGATTATTGGTTACTCACAGAGGGTTTATTTCCATTTTAGACCCCTGACAGGAGGAACAGAGTGCAGAGACCAGGTACAGAGCAGTGAAGCAGGTTGTATTAAATATACACAATACAGCATACTCTACATCACCATAAAAGATGCAAGAGTGTGTTTTGGTGAGTGAATCAGAGAAGTGGACACTTCTCATTGTTCTCTGGGAATCCCTCTCAAGGGCTTCTTTGGCTGTCTTTATCAGATGGAGATTCCTGGGATGGAGTGTTCCGGGGAGAAGGAGAAGTCAGTCCAGCCTATGAGATCCAGGGAGAGGCTGAGTGTGAAAGCTGGAAAGATCCTGGTGGGATCGTGTGACTTCCTTTTATAGATGGAGAAACTGAGGCTCATTAAGGAAAATAATTTTCGAGAGGCTACATAGCCAGTTGGAAATCAGAGATAGGGATAGAACCCAGAACTCCTCGCTCTCCACCACTTTTTGTTGTTGTTGCAAAGGAACTCTACTTTTCTTGGCCTCTGGCCCCTGGAAAACAGAGAAGTGGGCCCCTCTGATGTCCTGCTGGGTAGGTTTTCTGATGAACTCAGGTCCCAGGGTTGCAGGGCAGCCTGGTTGGATTTGGGTGACTCCTAATGGTCTAAGCTCCTTTTCCTTTTATTTCCTTCCCAGAAGCAGTGAGATGCAGTGTGGGTCTTCTCTCTTTCAAAGTAACAGCCAATCTTCACACTTGGAGCTGGAGCTAGGTGGCCTTTGCAGATGGTGTATGTCAGGGCTGGAAGCTGGATTTGTGCTTGTCTGCAGTGGCAGGTGTGGACATCTCATGGTGTCAGCTGTTATCTTAAAGTAGCACCTGGATCTGAATGATGTGCTTTGAATTGATAGTAGGAATTTAAGGAGCTTGGAATTGTACCTGTGCTATTCTTTTCCCTGTTGCACAAACCTTCCCAGTTTTCTCTTGGTCCTTTGAGATTCTTGAATGGGGAGCATAAAGGAAAAGGCCTGGACTAGAAGAAGATTTTAGGAGAGAAAATCCCTGGAACAAACAGTGCTCCAAGATGCTATACTGGCAAAAAGCATCCTCCAGCCTCTGATCTTTGCCCTGCAGCCTTGAATGATTTTTTGTTAAGGAGGACTAGATTGGGTGCAGGTCTAGAGAGTAAAGTTGGTAGAACATACAGATGCAGA